CTGCCGGAATATATGAAGTAGTATTTTGCTTGTGACCGTTACCGTATTCTTTAGCACCTTTGAGTTGATTCCATCCACGCCGCATGAAGACGACAACTTAAGATTATTTATGGCTGTAATTATGCCTTCCAATTGAATATCTATTGGTTCCATAAATTGGTAATCGAACTCAGCTACGTTGGGTATGTTGGTACTGTTCTCTTTCGTGAAGACAGAAGTGAAAAAGGAATTAAATGCTGTTGGACACTGGCTAGCTGTGAGAGGGACGTTGTTGCAGTCATGCAATGAGATGTGTTGGTTTTCGCTGGAGGGGTTTATGACTTTCCAAAATTTAGCTGGGTTGTTTTTCAGTAGTGTGGGTAGATCATTAGAATAATACTTTTCCTTAGCGATACTTAAAGCTGTGCAATATGCTTTTATGCAGGTTTTATATTTAAGCCAAGAAGAAGAACTACCCGAGCACTTAGCATTATTGTAAAGCCGTTTTTTCTTATTCCGCATTCTCAGAAGCTTTTTATTGAACCATGGATTTGATTTACCATTGCTAATTTTAACCAGTGGAACATGCTTGTCAACTAACGTACACAAAACTTGCTTGAAAAGTAGCCAGTTCTCTTCTACGGATATATTGTGGAAACACGGCAGGAGAGTGTTTTCGGAAAATAACCTTAGCTTTGTGTTAATTGCCTGATAATCGCCTTTATTATAGTCCCGAATTTGTTTTGTATGTACACCGGCTACGGGAAGGGATATGTTTATATCTACTTGGAGTAAATTATGGTCACTGAATCCGTCCAGGTAATCTGTATTACGTATTGTTTCCGGAGCGGTCGTGAGGATAAGATCAAGGGTGTTCGTACCACGTGTAGGTTTCAGAACAGTTTGAAAGAGGTTGAAATCTAGAGTTAAGTTAAGAAATTCAGTTGACATGTGACAGGGCGATGACAGTGTGGCCCAATCAATGAGCGGAAAGTTGAAGTCGCCTAGTAAGTAAATAATATCGGCTTGGAAAATTTCAGCAGCGTTGTTTATACTGTCACGTAGCATATTAATGAAGGAAGAGTCCGAGTCCGCCGCACGATAGCAGCAACCTACAAGGATTTTAGAGGAAGGGACTGTACAAGCTACCCAAACTATTTCGAGGTCAGAATTAGTGTTGATAAAAAATGAAGTAATGGTTTTCCTTATGCCGACCAGAACACTGCCTCCTCTTTTACCAGTGCGATCACACCTGTAGATTTGATAAATGCTGGCTGAGGTGAATATTTCGTCGTCACTGATAGCAGGATTTAGCCAAGTTTCCGTGAATGCAATGATATCAGATTTACTGTCATCCAGAAAAGCAGATATCAAATCCTGCTTCGACATAATGCTGCGTGTGTTAGCGATTGACAGCGACAATGAGGTATTAGCATGTTTCGGTCGTTGATTCTGCACGCGCGTGCAACGCTGTAGCTATCTGACAGATTCGATAACTGTGTTCGTCGCAGAGTCATAAATGTATGTCTTTGAAGCGATGCGTAGCTTGTCCACAGAGAGCTTATACGCACTTTTCTGCGTTTTCGCGAATTCAATGAGCTTCTTTCGGGACAGCCGAGTTTCCAGTGAAAAATCTTCTCGTATGGAAAATGCGGAACCTTTTAGTTTGTGTGCAGACGACAGGATTTGTTCTTTATCCTTAAAGAAGGCCAATTTCGCTATTATAGGTCTCCGCTTGTCTTCTGTATATTTGGCTATTCGGTGCACACGTTCAAATTGCCGTTCCGTCACAGTGATGCCTAATTTCTCTGAGCAGAAGTCGATTATTTTCTGCTCAGATTTTCCCCAGTATTCCTTAGGTTCATCGTCCAGTCCAAAGAAAAGAATGTTAGAGCGCCGTAATCTATTTTCAGTGTTGATAAAGAGGTTACCAGAAAAATATACTTGATAAAGAGGTCACCAGAAAAACGTTTATCAGGAATGTTCTCGACAAAGCGTTTTGGCAATACCGCAAGGCACGGGCTGTTCTATATGGCTTCAGCGCGGGCACTAGTTTAGAGCTGACATCTATGTGGAGGCAACTGCTACGGTCAGCCAAGGCCACAGAGGAATCGTGAACGCAAGTGGCCGCGATGATACGACAAAACGTTTGCGATACGGCTGGCAGCTACGTTGCTGGCTCCTATCTTCGCAGTCAGGCAACGGTAACAAAGCAAAAGAAAGGGAATATGCTCGCTTTGAATTTTCTTGTGCTATACTTTCTATTAGCCCACATTCACGCCGCAATGCTCATGTGTACTGCATTTAGAAACAAAAAAAAAGACCTGGAACACATTTTTTCTCTACTTACCTTTTTTTACCTTCTTTACTGAAGCATAAGATACAAATTATGTTCCACAACCTGGACAATGTGTATTGGCGTTATGAAATTTCCCACTTACGGTACGTTTATCACAAGACCCTGTAGCTGTTAAATAGAAAATTTGATGTGACGTTCCTACAATATCATCATATGTTGGTTGCCGTGCTGTTCTTTCATCCCTCCTAAACCTTAGCGAGCAGTCATCAGCTGAGCCTGAGCAGTATATCACGGCATTAGAACATGCAAAGATAAAGCATAACGTCATCCTTCAAGTTATTCTTATTCTGCATTCGTTGGTGCAGATTACGCTCTCACAAATTCAATGTCCTGATGTACCTGTATTTTTGCTCTTTGATAGCGCGGAGCCCAGACAGGGCGTTTGGAACGACAATGATTCGTCGCCGGGCACTTGAATGCACTGGCATTGTTGATATTCGTTAGTACAATACCGGGGAAGCTTCATCTCGAAACATACATTGGTTTCAGTTTGTCTATTACTAAAGCTCAAAGTGTGTTGAAATATTGCTTGTACAACCAACAAAAATTCGAGCATTTGTTTTGAGATGTATTGAAACACCTTGATTGGATGAAAGGTGCAGTCTATTTCACAGAGCAAAAAGAACAAAAAGGGAGCGTGAAATGAAAATTTTGAATCAGAGCCATGAAAAACGAAACAGGAGCATGCTGGGAAGTTAATTGAGTGTGTGGAAAAGGTTGAAATTTGTACTGAGTCACAAGAACTTAGTACAACAGTTCACTCTGTCGAACATATTTACCCTACAAGATGCTCACTAGTGTCTGCTGTATGGAACCACCGCCGTCGTTGTCGAAAAGTAGCCTGATTGAAGACAGTACTCAGGTAGTCATCCAAGGTCTTGAGAAAGAGGGTCATGAAAAAGAGACCATGAAAAATGAAGCCTCGTGCTGAGAGACAAAGCTTGGCACTAAGTATGATTGTCTCTATAGGACCTCCTCAAATACGGCATAGTTTGTAAGTCCATTAGGCCGTCAATTTTGTAGTAATCTAGGTTCCTGAGTAACTGTGATACGAGGTAATCAATATGACAAATGCTGTGAGTTTAAGCTTATAGTATTATTAAATAAATATGCAGTAGCTCAATGCTACCCGGCCTGACAATACATTTTTCTTATAACTTGAGCATTCTAGGCCATACGCCTGCATAAGCAGGGCTATACCTGCACATGGTAAATATAGAGCTTGTTATTTTCAGGGAAGGCGCTAGCCATCAACATCATGGTCGAAAATATGGAAGCTGTACCATTCCGGAGTGTGCTGGCTCCTGCGATGTATGCAGAAAGGAATCACTCTACCCACGACATCTCAAGTGATATATTCCAGGTGCGCATATGTTTTTTAAGTATTTTCCCGTGTACGATACGCCGACGTAGCAAACAAAAAACAGCCCCGCCGCAGTGGTCTAGTGGCTAAGATACTCGGCTGCTGATCCGCAGGTCGCAGGATCGAATTACGGCTGCGGCGGCTGCCTTTTTGATGGAGCCGGAAACGCTGTAGACCCGTGTGACCAGATTCGGGTGCGCGTCAAAAAACCCCAGGTGGTCGAAATTTCTGGGGCCCTTCACTACGGCGTCTAAGACGAAATGCTTCTATTCTGGAACACATCTTGCGGTCTGTGCTGTATTTTCCACGTTCTACAGTGCAACAGCGGGGTCTCCCGCCCAGCTACATCACAGCGATGGATGTACAATTCCTGGAGATCCTGCCCGGTACCAGTTCATCCATGAGCATTGCTTCAAGAAAGCGTGGTAATGAATCTAGTGAGAGCGAGGGCACCGAGCTGTACTTTACATCAGAGGACGGGTTCTCGGAAGACGGCTTTGAACCTGCGCACTACCGCCTAGCCAAACGAAGAATCATGAACGCATCATCAGCATCAAGTACAGCCACCGTGAGAACTGCGCCTCAGCGATGGCCTCACCCCATTTTCTTTGTGCCGCAGACCATTACTGCCAATCGACGCGTCTTCAACAGGCAAGCGCTGTCCTTGTATCTTGAAAATATTGTGCCTAACAAAAATGAGGACATCAGAATATACACGAGGACGAATATTTTGGCAATCGACGTGATGAATCCGAGTGCACTGAACACCCTACAGCATGTGTCGGAGCTGGGAAACATCGAAGTCCAATCTATCATACCATCGTATGGTAACACCGTAACAGGAGTTATCTATGATATAGACACTGAAATCGCCAATGAAGATTTTCCTGTACTGATAAAACTAGTGAGTGAAAGCAGCGTCATTGTGCATGCTGCTCGCCTAGGCCACTCTCGTTGTGTGCGAATAACATTCAAGGGTGACTGTCTTTCCTCTTACTTGAAGGTTGGCCATTTTCGTCACCAAGTTTGCCCCTTTATTCCGAAACCCATACAGTGCTTTAGGTGCCAAAAGATTGGCAACGTGAAGGACGATGGCAGAAATTCCGCAGTGTGGCCTAGATGCGCTGAACACCACTCAGAAGACAACTGTAGTGCAACCACGTAGAACTGCCCCAACTGCCACGGTGCTCACAGTGCTTCCTCCAAATACTGTCCTCAGATTAAGAAGGAGATTTATATTCCCAGGCAAATTGTACGAGGCAACTCGGCTCACAGAGAAGCTGCGCAAAAAGTAAGGCGATGGCGCCGTCATCGTCGGAGGTCCTCATGAAGGACAGTGCCAAATCTAACGAGAAAGTCAGAAACTCAAGTGAAGTTGAGAGGCGTGGCTCCTAGCACGGCAAACGTCTGCGCCGAAAAAGAAGAAACTGAGAGATCTCTCTGACCAAAGGAATGGCCACCCCTTCAGTCTACACGATCTGTTGAGCCTCAACAGAAGCCGCCTACACGACCTGTTGAGCCTCAGCAGGAGCCGCCTCAAGAACAAGCAAAAGATGTTGCAACGGCCAGGAAACCAGATCATCGCGTGAAAGTGGTGCTGCGATAATTAGTGGAAACCATTCGCGTGCTAAGCAACATGAATACACCATCAGCCAAAAGGGCCCTTCAAGTACTGGACGCGCTGAGTCCAGTGATAGCAGCCCTAGAGTAGAACATGGCTAACCCACAACGGTCTTTTAGGGATGAGGTTCGTAAAGCAGCAATACTGCAGTGAAACGCCAGGGGTCTAAGATCATGCATTGTTGGTTTTAGACGATTTGTGTACGTCAATATGTTTCCCCTAATCGTCATCTGTGAGCCGAACTTAACGACTGCAATAATATTCTCGCGATACGAACCTTTTATGTCATCTACTGCTACTGAAAGCAGCAAGGTGCTCGTGTTCATTCACCGAGACCTCACATCCTGCAACCTGTACCACCTCATGACGGATATCAATACGTATGCTTAAGAGTGAAAAAGAAAAGGCCAACCACAGGTATGCGCCAACCACATCCATGTGGTCGGCGCATACCTATCATCGTCAAGTCGGTTCGACCAAAAAGAATACGTGACGTCATAACGTCAACGCCTGACCCGTGCGTTATCATCGGGGATTTTAACACTCATCATACATTATGGGGAAGTCAGAAAACGAACATTAAGGGCAGAAACTTGGTGTCTTTTGCCTCCGACAACGAACTTTGGTTACTCAACGATGGCAGTCCTACATTTTTACGTAGCTCAACATACAGCAGCTGTCTCGACTTGGCTTCTGTTATCGCGAAGCCTAGACAAGCATACTGAATGGTTTACGGATATAGATACACATGGGAGTGATCACATTTCAACATACGTCAAGATCAGAGAATTGTCGCCTCCTAAAGTTCGCGACAAGGTTAAAAAAGTGGACTGGAAAACCTCTCAGTCTGGTATGGAAGATCAATGCCAAGAACACACATCCGATTTATAAGAAGACTTAAGAGCACTGTACAAGAGACTGTGTGTACGATCCTATGCTCTGTCAAAGTCATGGACATCGACATAGAGCTGGAGCGGCTTCGATCCTTACGACGACGAGCTGAAAGAAGGTACCGGTGCACGAAGGACATAGAAGATTCGCGGACTGCTAGACGTATGCAGAAGAAGATCCAACGTTGGTTGGACAAGCTAACATTCCAACGCTGAATGACTTCCTGCGAGTCAATTGACCCTCCTAAGCCTTTATCACAATCATGGAGGATGGTATGAGGTTTACGGTCATCCCCCATTCAGAAGTCACCATTCAAGGCCTTAGCCCTTTACCAAAATTGACCAGAGGTGAACGTTGCTGAAGAGTTCTGCGCCGGATTATCAGGGCAAACTACAGCACTTAGCAGCGTACTACTTTTGAGCAGTTGTCCGCCACCACGTGACTCCTGTATTGACTTCCCGTTCACCATTCAGGAGCTCAAGGCAGCCCTCGCTTCATGCAAACGTACCTCCGCACCAGGACCTGACGGAATCTCCTACAGAGCCCTGTGTCATCTGGGTGAGCGCGCGAGAATAGCTCTACTTCAGCTATATAATGATTGTTGGCTAGAGGTCACTGTCCCCTTAAGTTGGAAAACTAGTCGTCTAGTACCACTGCTAAAACCTGGCAAATCACCACTGGAACTCTCCTCATATGGCCCGATCGCATTGGCTAGTTGCGTGGGTAAAGTAATGGAGAGAATGATACCCGGCCGTCTCGAGTGGTACTTGGAGTATCATGAGATCTAGCCAAATGCCGTGACTGGCTTTCGACGTGGTCGATCATCGATCGATAGCGTCATCGACCTAATCACGTACGTTGCACACGAGAAACGCCATAAGCGTCTTTGTGCCTCTCTGTTCCATGACGTCAAAGGAGCCTATGATAACGTTACACATGAAGCCGTCCTTACGGCACTAGAAGAGATTGGAGTGGGTGGCCGAATGTTTAAGTGGATATGCAGTTATCTCCAAATGCGATCCTTTTTTGTGAGTACGGAGGCCGGGAACACGTCTGCACATTTCAGTTGTCATGGTGTCCCTCAGGGTGGTGTACTGAGCCTCGTGCTATTCAATATAACACTAATCGCTCTCCATACGTACCTACCAAACAATATTTATCTATCAACATACGCTGATGACATCTGCATCTGGACATCTGCGGTAACTCGCCTGAAGTTACGAGCGAGAATACAGAGAGCTGCTACTGCAACTGCTTTGTATCTCCGCAATCGAGGCCTGGAAATTTCCTCCGGAAAGTGCGCTCTTCTGGCATTTATGCGCAAATCCATGTCAAATTACAAAGTGTCAATTAACCGTCAAAATATACCATATCGTCGATCTCACAAATTTCTGGGTGTCATAGTCGACAGAGACATATCATGGAGCCCTCATGTGTCGTATTTGGAAAAGCGATTGACAGGCATATGCCATCTTTTCAAGTTTCTCGCTGGAAAGACTTCGGGAATGCAGCCTAATGCTATGTTACGACTGTACAGGGTGCTTTTTCTTGGCTTTTTACGACACAGCCTGCCTGCATTATCAAACGCCAGCAAAACAAATCGACGCATGATACAAAGCGTTCAGGCACAGGCGCTTAGAATATGTCTAGGTCTGCCTCAAGGTTCCTCAACAGTGGCGACTATAGCTTTAGCCAAAAACCACCTCGTGCAAATCCATATTGAAATTCAAGCTTTGAGAACACACATAAGGCATGTGGGCCGGACTCCCCATCACCATCTAGCCTCTCTATCAGCGGATAGACCTCATACTTTCTTTTGTCGAACAATAACTACACATGGTGACTCCCTACCATCTGGTTTTACGCCCGCGGCGAGACCTTCAATTCTTCCATGGTGCCTCAAACAGCCAGTCATCAACCTGACAATACCAGGCATCCAGAAAAAATGAGATTTCTCAATACCAGCCCTCAAGCAACTCGCCTCACTTCTGCTGTACGAGAAGTACCAAGACTGCACCCACATCTACACCGACGGCTCCGTTCTGCCAAACAGCTCAACTGCGGTAGTGGTTATTCCAACACACGCAACAACCATCAAATTCAGGAGAGCTTATGCAAACATCAACGGCAGCAGAGCTTGCAGCGCTTCACGCTTCGTTGCGTTTCAATAACGACGAAAGCACGCAATGGTGGACGATCTTCTACGACTGCAAGGCGGCACTGCTGTGACTTTTGTCAAACCTACGCCGAGGTCCGCACAAGCAGTTGGTATTTGACACAGCCCGATCAGCTTGCTCTCTGTAGTATACAAGCTATTTACAAAGGTAATTGCTAACAGAGTCAAGAAAACATTAGAATTCAATCAACTAAAGGAACAAGCAGGATTTCGAACAGGCTACTCAACAATTGACCACATTCATACTATCAATCAGATAATAGAGAAATGCTCAGAGTATAACCAACCACTATACATAGCTTTCATAGATTACGAGAAGGCATTTGATTCAGTAGAAATATCAGCCGTCATGCAGACACTGCGGAATCAGGGCGTAGATGAAGTATATATAAACATTCTGGAAGAAATTTACAGGGGATCAACTGCTACCATAGTGCTTCGTAAAGAAAGCAACAGAATACCAATCAAGAAGGGTGTAAGGCAGGGGGACACAATCTCCACAATGCTATTTACGGCGTGCTTACAGGAGGTTTTCAGAAGCCTAGAATGGGAACAGTTAGGCATAAGAGTTAATGGAGAATACCTTAGTAACCTGCGCTTCGCCGATGACATTGCATTGCTGAGTAACTCAGGGGACGAATTGAAACACATGATTACAGAGTTAGACAAGGAGAGCAGAAAGGTGGGTCTTAAAATTAATCTGCAGAAAACGAAAGTAATGTACAACAACCTCGGAAAGGAGCAGCGCTTCGAGATAGGTAATAGTGCATTTGAAGTTGTAAAAGACTATGTCTACTTAGGGCAGGTAATAACCACTGAGCCTAACCACGAGATTGAAGTAACTAGAAGAATAGGAATGGGTTGGAGCACATTCGGCAAGCACTCTCAAATTATGACAGGTAGATTACCACTATCCCTCAAGAGGAAGGTATATAACAGCTGTATCTTGCCGGTACTTAGCTACGGAGCAGAAACCTGGAGACTTACAAAGAGGGTTCAGCTTAAATTGAGGACGACGCAGCAAGCAATGGAAAGAAAAATCGTAGGTGTAACCTTAAGAGACAAGAAGAGAGCAGAGTGGATTAGGGGACAAACGGCTGTTAAGGATATCATAGTTGAAATAAAGAAGAGGAAATGGAGATGGGTCGGGCATGTAGCGCGTACACAGGATAACCGCTGGTCATTAAGGGTAACTAACTGGATTCCCAGAGAAGGGAAGCGGGTTAGGGGGAGACAGAAGGCGACGTGGGCAGATGAGATTAAGAAGTTTGCGGGTATAAATTGGCAGCAGCAAGCACAGAACCGGGTTAACTGGCGGAACATGGGAGAGGTCTTTGTCCTGCAGTGGACGTAGTCAGGCTGATGATGATGATGATGATGATTTGAGACAGCAGAAATGCTGCACCATGTAACGGAGAATAGGTACCAGGTTATATTTCAGTGGTTGCCAAGCCACTGTGGAATTATCAGTATTGAACGGGCTGATCAAGCTGCCCGTTCAGCCTATACAGAAGACAAGATCAGTCAACATTTCTTTCTAGGACGGGCGCTGCTAGGATGCTCCGCATGCTTGCTAGCCAACACTTCATGTCACTTTGGAATGAGCGTCTTTTTGCGCATGCGAGATTATGATCCCTTGATCATACGTTAAGCTTGCAATTTCCAACAAAACTTCGACGAGGTGAAGCTACTGCTCTCTGCATACTATGGTTGGGAGTCGTGTTTACCCGTGCGTAGACGTTCCTCATAGGGATGGCCGACACCGCCACCTGTGCGAGCTGCGCAGATGAAGGGACAATTGGACACGTCCTGTGTGACTGCCCTGAATATTACCTAGAAAGACAATAACTTTCTATCACACTAAACAAGTTAGATGACCAGCCGCTGTCAGAAGAAAGTATACTGCGCCATCGTCACGACTCATAATCACAGAAGAAGGCCGTGCAAGCGCTACTGGTCTTCTTGCGAACTTCTGACCTGTCGAAACGCCTCTGAGTGGACTGGTTTTGTGTGTGTACGTGTGGCCATGTTTTTTCTAAATTATTTTTTAACTCCATAGTGGGCAGCGCACAAAAGGAAACACATAAGAGAAGGAATCAGGACAAGCGCTGGTCTAACAACTGAAAGTTTTATTTGAAAGAAAGCATATATATACATGTGTACACAGACAATCAAGTGCTACGCAAGATTACATCCGATCAATGAAACCAATCTCCTGTTCAGATAAAGAAACAGATGGCTGGCTAACGCAAATGCCAACACTCTTCGCCATGTGGTAAGCCTCAGCAATCTCACGTGTCCTTTGATTATGATGGCGGTCGATGATTGCGGTTTGCTCAAAAGAAGGAATACAACCGCAATCGCGGCAATGGCTGGCGAGGTGAGACAGAACCCCACCCTTTAAAGAATTTTCATGCTCCCGTAGCCTAATATTAATACATCTACCAGTCTGTCCTATGCAGACACTCCCGCACGAGCAAGGAATTTTATAGACTACCCCTGTCGAACATGCGGTATACTTCTTAACGTGCTTGATTGAACAAGTGCTATCAACCGCCCTCGTAATTCCCTTAACGCGTCTATGAATCTTGCCACATAAGCTACCCAATTTGCCACATAAGCTACCCATAAGCTACCCAATAAGCGCTGGTCTAACAACTTTCAGTTGTTAGACCAGCGCTTGTCCTGATTCCTTCTCTTATGTGTTTCCTTTTGTGCGCTGCCCACTATGGATAAGTTCCAACTCGCCCGCCTTTCGGTGCTACAACAATTTTTTAACTCTCTGACTTTCAACCGCCTATTCCCCAACCCCAGTGTAGGGTAGCATACCGGATAGAAGCATCTCGTTAGCCTCCCTGCCTTTCTTTTCTTTTTTTCGCTTCTTTCTTGGGACGTTAAACTCCGTATATCAATCAATCAACAAAGAAAGAAGTCTGTGTACCCCTCTATCTTTAATTAAAGACATGAATTGTTCTCTTCTTCCAATAATTTCGCGCTCAACCAACGCGTTTTTTTATACCGGAGTTCCCGACATGCTAAATAATTTATTGACTGTATGCCGAGGTCTCGGTGAAAAAGTATCTTCTACTCTGCCATTAAAAAAATTTACACAACGGACATTAAAATGTGCTATATTTATCTTTCGGCCATAAACGTCAACAGAACATTTTTATAGTATATTCATAAAGCTCGCGAGGTGGGTTATACTTCCTGACTGCCGTCGACACCCCGTTCTTCTGTTGCGGGCTGAGTCTTGCCACTTTTAAACAGCAGCCACTTTTAAACAACAGCCACTTTTAAACAGGCCTTTTAAACAGGCCTTTTTAGGCCGCCACTTTTAAACAGGCCCTCCTCCAGTAAAAAAATGATTGATGTCGTTATTTCATAATTGTATACTAGCTGACAATAAGGTTTTATGTCGTGATTGGTTATTATTTTCAGGAAGGTTGTTTTATGATCGTAGCACGATCTATCCTACGTAAAGCTGTTCGTTATTCAGGAGAGCTACAGTCGGCTGATTGGATAGGTTAAATAATATGACCTCAGGCACCCCAGCCAAGTGCCAGTAATGACGCGCCAGCATTCTTATTTGCAACAAAACTTTGAAAACATAAAAATGAGCTATTTGATAAGCCGTTATCTCTGTACATTATTTTTTTACTCGAAGCCAGATGGTTCCTGGACTAGGGAACCCTCCCACCTTAGGGTGACAACAGGCCTCACACGGAACACTGTTTTCTAAATAAACGTTTATTTCTCTCTCTTTATTATACTGAGGGCCACACAGTGGAATCGTATTCTGGGAACGATTGATATTCATGATTGATATGTGAGGTTTAACGTTCCAATACCACCATAAGATTATGAGAGACGCCGTAGTAGAGGACACCGGTAATTTCAAGCACCAGCAGTTTTTTTAAGGTGCACCCAAACTGGAGCGACGCGCCTACTGCATTTTCGCCTTCATCGAAAATGCAACCACCGAAGCCGCCATTCCATCCCGCGAGCTGCGGGTCAGCAGACGAGTACCTTAGCCACTTGACTACCGCGGTGGGGCTATTCCGGGGAACGGCAAGAGATGCAGCAGGATATTTTGCTGCAACAGATCCTGTTACTTAACTGAAATTAGCATTAATTGTCATTCGGTAGCTTGCGAAATATCAGGCTGAACTTTCTTCGGAATCATTGCGGGCAAACGCAGTGGTCGAAATGATGATGTTGCTCTGAAGTGCTATAGAAGGTTTATTAGACGACATTTAAAAACAAAAGTGTAATGCAAACTACAAGAGCTGTCAAGGTTACCGCCACTATAAGTTACAAAAACCAGTTCCTCTATTTTTCCTTGGTTGATATCACCAGCAGTCTAATAGAGTTTAGGCAGTCGTGCACGAGACCTCTAAGAAGTAGAAATTCCTCTAGAAGTCATGCACAATGCAGTTGTGCAGCTGTGCGCGGCTGCGTTAAAGAGCGTAAAAATATGTTCATGAACTCGCAGCTATATTAGCGTGTGCGATGGTGGCTGCAGAAGCAACACGGCACTCCGTTCATGCGATGGACTAGTACCACAAAGCAAAGCTATCCGTGATAGAGGCGATGGAAGTAATCAAAGACAGAAGAGTTGGAATGCGAACATTTACTGCAAATTGTGCCGTACTTATCTTTCGGCAATAAACGTCAATAGAACATTTCTTTTGTCGCGCTGTCACAGATATAACTTTATATTAGTTCGTGGATTTTTTTTCTTTTGGAATCGACGTCAGGTTCCTCACTGCCCTTTTCGAAGGTGTCAATCTGTATCTTGATTTTACGAGGGCCTTCCAAAAGACCCATCGGTGCACTACCGATGGTAACTTGTCATTATCGTCTTTCTCACAAAAATGATGCAATTTTTCCGCAGCTCTACAAGATGGCATTCAGAGTGTCTGGTGATGAAAGTCACCAAATTCTGGACATTGGATGTGGCCCTGGAGATGTTACACTAAATCGTATATTGCCGACATGCGAGCCTTGCAAGAGGTACATTTAACAAAGTCAGTTAATTAGGTGGCCACAAGTCACATTGAAGAGCTGTGCAAAGGGGCAACCCTTCTGCACATTAACCAATTTACTGCTAAAGATAACTTTCTATAAATATTTCATTTTAGTCACCACTCACGCAGTAATCAAAGCAACCAACCTAATGAAAATACCAATCTTATGAAAATTCATTTAGTTTAGTATTGGGACTGCATGTTGATTCCATAAGAAGAAGGCTCAAGTATATTTAAACTCGCAATTAAATTTGAAATGTGCCAGAACCTATAGGACTAAAGTGGAAGTTTGTCTTGCAGGGGTGCACTATATTTTTTCTATTTTAAGCATCTCACTACGTTGAAGTACCTTGCAATTTGCTTTTAGCAATAAAATAGTGCGCTCGCTTTCACAGAAGCCTGCGAGATATGTTTCATTATGGTAACTTAGTTGCGTAAACTTCAGCTTAGCGTCACCACCTGTTGATTTTTATTTGTGCGTGTTTTCTAGATGCCTGAGCGCCTTAGAATCGCAGTTGCGGCAGGGTGGATAAAAATTTTCTAAATGGTCATTATGTTTTGTTTTTTTAGGGGCGAAGCTCCTTAGGGCGTGGGCTGTGCGTCCCCTGTAGCCTGTATGTAGCCACCTCTAGTTTAGTTCTTGCAGTGTTCACTAGATGGCGGTACCGTCCCCTGTATGTCCCCTTACCAAATGGAGGAAGCGAACCAGGAAGTTGACTGGTAAATACTTAGAAAACAGCAGGTGGCCAAACCAAAAAGAACTATCGGTTAAGAAGAAAGTGAAAGAAACGGAGACTGGCATGTGGAGAATGGGCATGATTAAGAAGTCCGCACTAGAGATCTATCGAACTTTTAAGCAGGAAATTGCCAAGGAAAGGATCTATGATAATACTCGGGGTAGTTCTCTACTGTTTGAGGCCAGGACGGGAGTACTGCGAACCAAGACATATCGAGCCAAATACGAAGGGGTAGACACAGTATGCAGTGCGTGTGGAGAGGAAGAAGAAACTGCCGAACACTTGATAATGTTCTGTAAAGGGCTTCACCCTATAGTTCAGGATGATGGCGCAGAGTTTTTCAAAGCACTGGGGTTTAGGGACCGGGAGGGCAAAATAAACTTTAAGCGGGTAGACTTAACCAGAAGGAGGTTATCTGATTGGTGGCTAAAGTCAAGACACGAGTGAAAATTAAACTCTTCACTGCAAAGTACGAATTCTCAAACTCACTTTTTAAGGAAAAAAAATAAATATAGTTTTTGGTTCATTAGGTATTACGGCTTGGTGGCGCTAGCCACCGCCCGATCTAAAGGGTACAGCCATATCCATCCATCCATGTAGCTACCTCTAGTTTAGTTCTTGCAGTGTTCACTAGATGGCGGTACCGTCTCCTGTATGTAGCCACCTCTCATTTAGTTCTTGTAGTGTTTACTAGATGGTGGTACTTGTAGCTGATGATGAAAAGATGCAAGATGTTATGAACTAGAAAGCGGTACTTGTAGTTGATGAAAGACGCGAGATCTTATAAAATAGGAATGATGTCACATATGGCGCGTGTCATTGGTTGAAGGCAATCGTTCGATTTAGTGCGGCTACGTACGCTAGGGGGAGCGATGTAATAAAATCGAGTGGGCAAAATGTACAGAGGATTCATGGTTTACCAGGTTTACCTCCGGAGCTTCGCCCACTCATCATCATTCACTTCGTGGATATGGCGGAATTTTTTTTGTTTTGCTGTCTATTTAAGAGAATGTAAAAAAACTGGCGGGATTCACATGAGAAAACATTTTTTGTGATCGTTTAAAAAAACTAGTGACAGTTAAACACTATTTGTATTAAAACTATATGTACAGCGGATAATATTAAAAGGGCGAAGACAGCTCTACACAACATATTGTGTTCGTTAAGCGATGCGAGTGACGCAAATGAGAAAGTATAATGAGAAGCTAAACGACATCTTGTACATCACATTTATTTCACACTTTTAGGCTATATGACTGTAAAAATCTGCGTCTTACCTGGCCTTAAAGTTAATTACAATATTATATTTGGTACGGCATTTCGCGCATTCACAATGAGCCTCCATAGAGATTTTCGCTTCCACAGGATCGTCGCGGTCGATTCCTCGATCAGCATGATCAAGTATGCCAAACAACATTACGCGCACGAGAAGATCGTATACGATACTTTTGACAAAGATAGCGACGTGTCGCCTTTTAGGAAGAAGTACGGTGCCTTCCAACGTGTCTATTCTTTCAAGACTCTGCATTGGTCACGAGACCTGCACCACTGTCTGGGCAATATCACCCAGCTGCTGACACCTGGTGGCGAGTGTCTGCTGTACTTTCATGCACGGACATTTTTGTTTGAGTCCTTCAAGAAATTGAGTCACCTGGAGACATGGACGAGATAAGCTGAGGTAAGAACGACCTTTTTCAATTGAATCGCTTTGTATAATAATGTGTATCGTTGGTCAGATTTATGTTCCAGCGCAGGAAAGGCCACCAGCCGGTGACTAACTTCTACTGTAATCTATTCTTGCCCCTTTTTATGTTCAGTATGTAAAAAAAAAACAGGCAGAAAACAACACAGCTTTTCACAGCGAAAGTAACTAAAATCATTCGGCATTGGTCTCACTAGCGGCGTCGATTGGTTGTGATATCAGTTACGTCATTCTCCGCGTCGTACCCAAGCAAGCGGGCCATTGGCTGCATTGTGAGTGACGTCGTTTATGCAGTCGCAGCTATGGTGCCGAGCACGTCCGCAAGCGTTAAACAGGGGAATCATGAGAGAGCTCGCGTTCGCCTGGCCGGTGCTGCAATCCGGGCACAAAAACCAGCCTGGGAGGCTGAGTGCTGACAGCAAATGGGTACCGATAATCCGGCAGCCTTCCAAGTTGCGCTACATAGCAAAGAGGAATGCATGCGCTGGTGGCGGGCTGGTCCCGCAAACCACGCCACCGAGTTAATTCGCGATGTCCAACCATTACAACAACAGCGTGCCGGACAAGCGGTGTTGCGGGCACAGCAGCGTCAACATTATAATTGTGGGTACGCGTTCACCGGGGAAACGCCTGATTTCGCCGTGAGTTTTTCAAGTGGCACTTTGACTTCGGCTGCGACGTGTGTGACTGCCTGTGGTTAGAGAACAACCTGGCACCGATCGAAAGGATACTGCCTCTTCAACAGCAGAATAATGCCATGGAGATAACGACGTGGTGGTTCCCAGCTGCTTCCGATGTTGGCAAGTTTCGAATCTGCAGGACGTGCAAGGAATCGCTGATGCGGCACGTAAGACAAACACTCTTGTAAACCTGAGTCGAACGTGTGTCGTACCTCATTAAGAAGCATGAACATGTTGCCAATAATTGTGAAAGGCTTCAATGCAGCGTTAGGTTGAACCCACTGCTAAACATCGGAGCTGCGAGCTCCAGCTTTCGCTGGTTAAGCATTTGTAGGGACTGTTTTAACGGTGATTTCTTTACCTGCACAGTACTAGAAATTCTATACTTTGCAGGTTCTTTTGCGAGCCGTGCCAAAAAGCCACAAAATGGTGAATCGAAGGAGCCAGGAAGACTACCTCTATTCAGCTCTCTCTTCAGCAGGTCTGGTACCTTGAACCGCCGAAGTATTGGTCAGCCCACACAGCATACAAAGTGAAAATCCTGCGACTGATGGTGAGCTTGTTCATATTGCGGTCCATACAACAACGAATTTGTACAGAAATACATAGCCTAGGCAGATATTTCCCTGATTCATCCAACTAAAGCTAAAACTCGTGATCTAGACCCGTACACCGGAAACAGGTGCACGCGACGGTGCGGGTCTGCAAATTTATTTATTTATTTATTTATTTTGTTACCCTCAATCGCCGAAGCTTTACAGAGGGGAGTGGGTTACAACATGAAAAATATACGTGCTATTTTATACATGAACAAAACTAAGGAAATCACAATGAGCAAATAGTGAATGTAGTAAAATTATACAGTACTAGCAAAAAAAAAGTGTAAAAGTAAGGGAAATGACACGCACACACAAAAAATCAAGAATCCACTGGAAAACGCTGGCATCTTGACACGTGGAGACAGAACTTCGTAAGGAGGGGAATAGATCGGATGACTAAGGAGAGCTATCGCGAAATAGGTGAGCTGATAAAGAATGACGAAAGAGGGAGTGATCAGAGATGGAAACGATGTCACCTGGTAGCCGATTCCAATCGTTTGATGTGACCGGTATGAAGGAGCAAGAAAATGTGTTTGTGTAGCAGAAAGTACCTTTAACCTTGTGTTCATGGTCGATCCGAGAGGAGTGATATGTGGGAGGCGTAATGAGCTCATTACGCAGTGATGGATGATGGTAGGTCTTATGGAAAAGGCAAAGGCGGAAGTACTTGCGACGCAGTGATAGAGGTGGCAGTGACAAGTGGTGCTTCATTGCTGTTACGCTTGTTGTACGTTGATAATCCGATAGAATAAAACGTGCAGCGTTATTTTGAATTAGCTCAAGGTGCCTAATCAAGTTTTCGTGGTGAGGGTTCCAGATTGCAGCAGCGTACTCCAATTTCGAGCGCACGAGGGTTTTATAAAGAAGCATCTTCAAGGAAAGTGGGGCGTTGCTGAAATTTCGACGTATGTATCCCAATGTACGGTTAGCATTGTTCGTGATGACGTTAATATGGGCATTCCATGTTAGATTGAAAGAAATGGTGACGCCTAAGTACCGGTATGACGACACTTGGTCAAGATAAACATCACCCAGTTTGTATGTTGAGGAGTTATTAGGCTGGCGGGAGACTGTCATTAGCTTGCATTTTTTGGGATTTAATTTCATAAGCCATTTATCGCACCAATTCCTAATGTTATTTAAGTCTGTCTGCAAGATGTTCCTATCATCATCGGTACGTATTTCCCTGTAAAGCACACAGTCATCGGCATATAAATGAACGGATGAAGAAACGCAGTCAGGGAGATCATTAATATATATTAAAAACAGCAGAGGTCCCAGAACTGAGCCTTGCGGGACACCCGATGTTACACTTATTTCCGGCGAGTCATGACCGTTAACAGTGACGTACTGAAGACGGTTTGTTAGAAAGTAGTTGAGCCATGCCAGTACATTCGAGTCAAGGTTGAGAGAGGAGAGCTTATGCATTAGTAAAGCGTGATTGACTTTTTCAAATGCTTTTGCAAAATCCAGGAAAATGCAGTCAATTAGAGATTGTTTATCAAGAATGGTATGCAGGTGATGAGTGAAAAGAAGCAACTGGGTTTCACAGGAAAACGTACGCCTAAAACCGTGTTGGGCCGATGTAAAAAATGAATTCGATTCTAAAAGTTTCGCAATATGTGAATGCAGTACATGTTCCATTAGTTTACACGGAATGCTTGTTAGTGAAATGGGCCGATAGTTAAGAGCGGAGTGTTTATCACCAGACTTGTGTATCGGCACAACCTTACCGACCTTCCAGTCCAGCGGCAAAGTTGCTTGGTCAAGTGACTGCTGGAAAATCTTACACAAGAAGAGAGACGAATATGCGCTTGTTTGTTTGAGAAATTTTGAGTTGATACCGTCAGTCCCACATGATGAGGATGTTTTTAAGGTGTCAATTAACTTCAAAATTCCTGCAGAATCAAAAATGATAGGAAACATTGAGCGGTAGTCACGGCACACAACTGCGTCAACAGGCGCAGCAGTATTTCCCGAGAAATTGGCTGAAAAAATATTGTTAAATAACGCGGCACATTCAGATGGTGGTAGCGGCTCACCAGAGTCATCGTTAATTGATAAATCCGCATTTTGGCTAGAATTGATAACGTTCCAAAATTGCCGGGGGTTCCTTGATAACAATTCAGGCAACGTATGCGTTTGGAAACGATTCTTAGCAGCACGCACAGCTTCCACGTATTCTGCCTCAGCATTTTGATACGCTACCCAGCAGTCACTAGTATTTTGCAACTTGGCTGTGCGGAAATAGCGCTTTTTTCTATTAGACAAACGTTTTAGATGCGTGTTATACCACGGTCTTTTTGTGTTGTTCCGTATGCGTCGAAGGGGAATGTGCGCATTGGTGACATTAGTAACTAAGTTTTTGAAAAGGTCCCAGTTCTCTTGTACACTTCTCTCTTCAAAATTACAACAAAATGTGTCTAAGTACGCGCACATATCTTGGTTAATGGCGTCAAAATCTGCATTGCGGTAGTCCCGGATGTACTTGTCTTTTTCAGTTCCACGTGAAAAAGACATGGTGATGTCGAAATGTAACACCAAATGGTCGCTCAGACCAGGAAGATAGATAATTGGGGATATGAAGTCTGGATGAGTTGACAAAACTAGGTCTAATGTATTAGACGATTCATTAGTTACCCTTGTTGGTTGCGTTACAACCTGGGTAAAGTTGAAACAATTACAAAAATCTAGGAACTGTTGGGATTGTGCTGAAAAGGGGTCGAGTAGAGGAACACCAGCGTGCCAGGTAATGTTAGGAAAATTCATGTCACCAAAAAGAAAAATTGGTGACGAAGGATACCGAGTGACGACATAGTTGAGAACGTCATGCAATTGATCGACGAATGACGATGTATAGTTTGGGGGACGATAGCATACGCCTAATATAATCTTTGTGTGCTTACTTGAAATACCAACCCAGACTGTTTCCAGAGAGGACACAACTTCTACTTGAAAAGAGGAAATTGTATGCGATACGGCTATCAATACACCACCACCCTGTCTATCTTCTCTATCGCACCGATACACATCATATGTGACGTCAGTCTGGAAAATTTCTGTATTTTCCACCGTTGAGTTGAGCCATGTCTCGGTTAATATTACTAATTTTGCCTCCATTGAGGAAATAATAGAATTAAGCTGAATCCTGTGTTTCATAATGCTCCTTATGTTGGAAAAAAGAACAGGGACATTGAAAAGAGCAGTCACGTCATCATTCCTACCTCCGGCTAATTGTTACTTGTGAGGACGACTGAAGTGAGTAGAATTCGCATTCATTTTGCGGTTACGAGTACTAAAGGCGGGTCCATTGCGACTACCCGAAGGCTTATCTTGGGTGACACTGTCGTTTGGAACGGGAGTTGTAATCTTACTAGTTGCCTTCTTTAGTATACTATCAGTAGCACGGTCATAAATGTAGCAAATGTTACCTACATACAACTTGTCATGGCGAACTGAGAAAGCTGGTGACTGTGGCAATGAGTTTGCAAACTCAAATAGTTTTTTCCGTGCAACTCGTGTGGCTATTGAAAAGTCTTCTGTGACGGAAACATTAATACCTTTAAACGTTGCTCGCTTAAAAAGAACTTGTTGCCGAAGCTTAAAACGACTAAACTTGACAATGACAGGTCTACACCTGTTTTCTTGGTAGCTGCCACCTAACCTATGCGCACGCTCAATTACATCATCA